GTTGGATCCGTTAAGCCGCACAACTTTTTGGACACTAAATCCAAACCCGCTGGCCCACTTTCCGTTATTGTTGAATTTTCAAAAGCTATATGGATATAAGGTCACAACTCGCAGTAACGTTGCCAGACTGCACATTTCACTCATAGAGCATCATATACAGTTTGAATTTTTTTTTGGAGATTTGATTTGTAATTCAGATCTGATCAGTTGAAAGAAAAAGAAATGGGGAGGATGGATTATTTGGCCATGAANTCCACATTAATTGTGAATGTATTTTTCAATATTTGCAAATCGAGTAATGTTATTTATCATTATAACTATCATCCGTGATGTGACAACTTAGTGAAATAATAAGAAATGACAATTCAATTTTCATGAGAAGAGACGTAAATTAAATTATTTTATCTTTTTATTCCACCTAAATTGTCACATCACCAGTGATCCATCATTATAATGATAAATAATATTATTCAAATTATATCATGACATTGAGGTATTTATCATATTATAATCTCACTATTTAATTTATGAGTTACATATAAAGTGTGTCTGATCCAATTATTCAAATTGCCAAAACTTGAAATAAGGACATATTATATTTTCTCTTCGTTTTAAAAGAGGATCAAAGGATTTCAACCATCACTAAAAGAAGGCTTGAACCCAGTCTTATTGGCGTGGGAAAACTTTGATTTTACCACTTGAAGTATACATTGGCCAAGCATGCTTTCAATGATAGATTGGACAATATTAAATATGTCAAACAGGACCAGTCCTAATATTTTGGGAGTCTTATGCCAACTTCAAATATGAGGCTCCTATGAATATTAAACCCATGTTTGATAGAGATTAAAATCAAAATTTTAGTAAATTTTGATAAAAGTTAATGAAATGTGTGGTTGAAAACTTATGAGTAAAATGAAGTGCATGATTACAATTAATTATTGACTTTAACTTAAAATATAATTAAATACAATTAAAAAATAATAAATATAATCAGAAAAAATTGAAAGACAAAATACAAGATTTAAACTCCAGTACAAACATAAAAAAAGAATAATAAGTGGACAGAAAAAATCCCAAACCAACATGACACATAAAGAAGCATTAGTTTAATTATAACATTAATCAATACAATGACACTGAAAATTTGGAAAAAAAATATTGGACGAATAAAATGAAATGTAAGAATTGTCGTAAATTTTGAAGAGAGAAAAGTGACATTCTGTTTCTTGTTAAGAAAAAAGAAAAATGATGGTTGGGAAGATAAATGGTCAAATTAATTCTATATAGAGAAATTAATGTTTGTAATATATTTATGTAATACATAAATGTATGTGATAAGCTTGATGCCATTTATATGATTTTTTTTTTCCAGAAATGTTAGTATTTTCAATTTTTATTAATTTCTTGTGTTCGTATATAATAATTCTAATTTAAATAATTTCGGAATTGTAATTTTCATTTTTCTTCATCCAGACAATTAAACTAAAATAATTTGGGGCCTTCATCAAAGCGGGGACTTAGGCAATCACCAGCGTTGTCTATAGTCAGGGCCGGCCCTGTTACAAGAGGGTCTTTATGTAGACAATAAGTAGTTAATATCGGTTTGGTAAAATATTTCACATTGTTAGGTCTTCTGATTTTGACTGGAAACTGCAATTCTTTAGTCATATAACTTTCTAATCTGATGTTTACTTAAGGATTTTACTGTGTAAATTGAGGCCTACTCTCATAAAAGACTTGGAATGAAGAGTATATAACAATCATTCAAAAATAGCGTGTTGTTCTGAATACTGATGTTTTTTTTTTCTTTTTCCTTGTTTGTGATTCCAAAACAGATTACTTGCTGTGATTCAACATGTGGAATGGTGTCACTTTTGCTGATTGTAATGTCTATGTAAAATTTCACTCTTACCTGTATTTATATGTATATTTCAATTGCTTCCCAACAGATTACCAGTATCAATCATCTTGAACTCTCGAATGCGTTACTTGTTGTTTACTGCAGTTATCTGTTGATCTTGGACCGGACAAACTGGAAAACAAACATGCTGACTACACTCCTAATTCCTTATATTTTCTCTAGTTTTCCTTCCATCTTGTTCAACTTTTTAAGGTGACGGTTTCTATCTAGAAACTCTTCGACTATCCTTTTCTTGAGCAAAATCATTTTTTCTGATTTAGCACTTGGCATTGTGGTGTAGGGGAGAGGTTGGAAAATGGATTGCTATCATTGCAGTTGTATTAAGGCTTTTCTTCCCCCAACATTTCCCAGGTAAATTCATCCTACCGTCTTTGCAGTGTTAAAAAATGTGTAATTAGGTACTCAAATAAGCGCATGATAAATTAGAAACAATCTTCAAAATTCATAACAAAACAATTTAAATGCGCAAACAAAAAGAATTCTTAATATTTTTCAGGCTCACGCCTAAATTAAAGTAAATAAGTCTGAAAATTTAAGGAGTACCTCACAAGTCGTGAGTTGGCGCTATAAGGCCGTAACTCACTCGATTGAGGTGCACATCCCCAAAATCTACCTCACAAATCACAATCAATGCCTTATGGTTTCTGGTAGAGATGGCAATGGGGCGGAGCACCGCTACGCCACTCCCGCGCTCCACCTTAGATGGGGCGGGGCGTGGGGCTGCCCCTTTTATTTTATATATATAAATTCAAAAAATTTAAATCCAAAGCAAATAATGCTTAAACTAACTACATTAATATCTAAAGCAATCACTTGAAACAAAAAAATGTCAAAAAAAGTTTTTTTTTTTTTTTTCTTCATGGACGCCCCACCCCGCCAACCCGTTCGGGGCGGGGAAAATTGCCATCTCTAGTTTCTTGTTTGCCTCACTTTGTGGCGGACCTTAAAAGGTAATTTTTACAGCATGTGAGGTTAAAAACTCACAACATTTAGTATTACTGCCCATTATAGCTTGTTGTTCCCTTTATTTATTTTTACTTCTCAAGTCACTAATTTGTGTTCAACCGTAAAAAAACCAAAAGCATATTTAGTACGTGGTATTGGACACTGTGACGGAAAAGACCTTAATTTCTTTTTTCTTCTTTAATACTTTATAGTTCACCTTACAAAACGAGCCTCTAAGGAATCATAATATTTTAATTTGCATCCTTCTCCTTTTTGATGGTGCATATTCGTATCCGTTTTGTGGTCAAGAAATTTTTTAGATTATACACTTATCTCATTCTTGCAATTCGGATCACATTCTTCATGCAATTTCTACCATGAGCATTCTATAGGTGACACTAACTTTAAAGTATTAATAATTCCATTTCTCTACTTGATGCCTAATAAATCCATTGAATTGTTCAGTAGTCAGTACTGTCTACTGTCCTTCTTTACCATAATATTCTTGATAAACTGTTGTTATGTGGTTACAGATTGGCTGGAGATGCCCGGTTCATTAATTCTTCTTCTAGTGGTTGCTCCGAACTTCTTTGCTCATACGCTTAGAGACGACTTGGTCGGAGTTGCGATATGTCTTGCCATTGGTTGTTACCTTCTGCAAGAACATATTCGAGCATCTGGCGGATTCCGTAACTCCTTCACAAAAAGCCGTGGCATTTCAAACACAGTTGGGATTATTCTCTTGTTGGTGTATCCCATATGGGCTCTGGTAATCC